CCCATACACCCCAGCTTTGCTTTGTCCGCCTGGAGGGCTCTGTGACTCCCAGACTTCCCTAGCAGGGTCCGAGCGTGGTCTATGACCGGGGGAGTATGTGCATGTGACTGTGTAACTATGTGTGCGTGGAGTGCTGTTGGCATGTGGTGCCATGACAGATGCAGAGCTGTAATTGCATGTGCTCATGAAGATGTGCGGTCTGTGTCAGAGAACAGCTCGTGCATGTGGGACCCACGTTCCTGGCATATGCTCTCCGTCACTGCGATGCCTCTGTGTCGTCTGGGTGATGGAGTGTAGATGGCACACACCTTTCTGTGTGATTTTGATGCTGGACATACCTGGGGTGGACGCTGCAAGCTGTATCAGTACTCGCCGCCAATGCCCTGAGCTCAAGAGGTCCCCCAGAATACTCGCAGCTATAAAAAGAAGGCCAGCTGTCAGCCCCAGTGCCTATGGAATGTCGATGGTGTTCGAGAAGGCCGTATTTTGGAACACTGGAAATGCCATGAGCACAGGCGCCCAGGCAGCCTCCCCTCAGCTGGCAGTTCCCCTGCCCTCCTCTCCCGCATGCGCAGTCCCTGTCAGCCGCTGGGTATTATTCTGGGGCTTCCTTAGCCACTCTGGGATCGTGGGCGTGTCCCGTCTTCCGCCCTATGCTGCTTCCCTATGCCTGGCGCTGCTCCTGCAGTTGTTGGGGAGCTCCTGTCCCCCCATGTTGTATCCCAGGCGCTACGCAGAGCCACAGGGGCCGACGGTGATTGGGGAATGGTTGAAGACATAATATCTATCCTGGATGGAGGCAGGACCACGGGGTGGGTGGGGGGGCGGGAGGGCTCTTAGCATGGAGGGTCAGCCATCAGCAGTTGACAAACACAAGTGGCAAGCACTGCCATCAAGTCACAAGCACACAAAGAAGCCGGGTGGTGGTGGCGGCGGCGGCGGCGGCGGCGCACGCCTTTAATCCCAGCACTCGGAGGCAGAGCCAGGTGGATCTCTGTGAGTTTGAAGCCAGCCTGGGCTACAGAGTGAGATCCAGGACAGGCACCAAAATGACACAGAGAAAGCCTGTTATGAAAAAAAAAAAAATCAAAAACCACAGGCACACAGAGGCAACTCCCTGGGCTTCCCTGGGGGAAGGGGTTGAGCTGTCTGTGTGAACATCCTCAGTGATCACACTTGGGATCAGTCAAAGGAACTTGGTGTCCTGGAACTGTGTGTGTGTGTGTGTGTGTGTGTGTGTGTGTGTGTGTGTGTGTGGAGAGAGAGAGAGAGAGAGAGAGAGAGAGAGAGAGAGAGAGAGAGAGGCTGACTTTGAGAGCATGCAATGAGACCCTGGGGACAACATTGGGGATGTAGAAAGGAAGGGGGGCAGGTGGTAAGAGTGATGATCTGGGTGGGGTCTCCAGACCCTAAGGAGCAAAGAGACAGAGAGGGGCTTAATCACCCAGCAGTGTAGCCAGGCCCTTCTGATGTGACCCCAGGGAGGCTGTGGTGGGTACAGTAAGCCTGTGAGGTGTACTTTCATAGGAGGCCAGTGCTACAGGGCAGGAAAAGGGTGAGTGAGTTAGGGCAGCAGAGATAAAGAGCTGCCGGGCCTCACACACATACAGGATTACAGAAGAAAGATGAACTGGGGAGGGAGCATGGGAGTCTGAGCCTCAGGAGTCCAAGGGCCTGAGGATATCCCAGAGGTTATCCTGAAAACAGCCTAAGGCTTTTATGGCTCCTTGTTCGAGGTGTGATCCTTGAGAAGGTCCACCCCAACCTTGACCACAGCCTGACCCCCCCCCCTTTTTTATATTTTTAAAGATTTATTTATTCATTATGTATACAGAAGAGGGCACCAGATCTCATTACAGATGGTTATGAGCCACCATGTGGTTGCTGGGAATTGAACTCAGGACCTCAGGAAAAGCAGTTGGTGCTCTTAACCTCTGAGCCGTCTCTCCAGCCCCTCCACCCCTTATTTTTGAGACAGGGTTTCTCTGTGTAGCTTTGGTGCCTGTCCTGGATCTCTGTAGACCAGGCTGGCCTTGAACTCACAGAGATCTGCCTGCCTCTGCCCCCGGAGTGCCGGAACTAAAGGCGTGCGCCACCACTGCCCAGCTCAGCCTGGGCCCATCTACGTAGTTATCGTCACCTGTCAGTGTTCTCAAGTGTGAAGAGGCATCAGAAGGCTGCCCCTGTGAGACAATCCCAGAGATGAACAGACGTGTACTGTTTATTTTCAGACCAAGGGACAGCTCCCCAGCCTGGACCTCGGGATGTAGGATGCCCACCGGCCCTCCATTTCTTCTGCTCCTTGTCCAGCCCATCACCTCCCTATCACATGCACAGACCCGGGATTATCTCACAAGCCTGGAACCTGTGCTACTCTGGATGCACAGCTCCGGCCCTTCCCACACTGTGAAACTCCTGTCTTGAAGGGGGTCCTCACTACTTAGCTCGGCAGCCTCACCCGGGCTCTGCCCAAAGCAGGGACCCAGGCTCTCTCTGCTGCTTCACTTCCAGCAGCCGCTGCCTCTCCTCAGACACTGTATGCTGCGATTGTCCAGGCGGCGACGACAATAGCGATGGCACTGGGGGACTCATCAGTTATTTACGAGCCAAGCATCTTGGCTAGCCTTTGTGACCAGGCTGCACAGCTCATTGGTTCAGAAAGCTCAGCCCGGCGTCCCCTGTGGCCAGTGGTCACAAGTTGGACACAGACTTTGCTTTGCACACTAGAAATACTCCTTCACCTCTAGCTATCCCCTAGCATTCACACTGTGGCCCACACTCACATGTACAGGCACTTAGGTACCTATCTGTATGCACACCAAGCACATGTATGCACACCCTGCCCTTAATGTTTCGTGTCTAAGTTCCTTCCAGATGTGGATCTGACAGGGCACAGAAATACAATAAACAAGGTCTTTTGTGATAAACATGTCTACTGGTGCTTCTGTTGGAGAAGAGACCTGGGCCTTGTCTCCATGTCTCCAGCAACTTCTTTTTCCCTTTCCTAGCGACTCTCACTCCTGAAAATCCATTTCAAACTGTAGGAGAGCAAAACAGAGGAGGGACAAAGGCCGTTCGCGCCCCCCCCCTCGCCCCGCCCCGCCCCGCTCCTCCCCAGGGAGATGTGGAGCTTCGCCCAGCCCATGGGTACCAGCTGCTCTCCAACTGGCTTCGGGTCTCCCAGGGGAGGCAGAGGGAGGCTGGCCTGCCCCTTTAAGAACATCTTCCCACCACCCCTCCCTTACCCAGAAGCAAGTCACCAGGCAGTGCCAGACTCCAGAGAAAGAGCCTTCAGCTCCAGGTCAGCCTTGCTGGGGCTCCAGGGCCAGGGTCAGCCCTTTCTTTCTGGTTATGCTGTGTGGCTGGATCTTCCCCAGCTGGGACGGACAGAGGGGCCTGGGTGACAAGGCCAGAGCTAGGGATAGATGGGATGGAGTAGAGGAAGGGATGGGATGGAATGGTGTAGAGGATGAGATGGGATGGGATAGGATGGGATGGTGTAGGCGAAGGGATGGGATGGGATGGGATGGGATGGGATGGGATGGGATGGGATGGGATGGGATGGGATGGGATGGGATGGGATGGGGTGGGGTGCTGACCTCCTAGCCCTTGCAGGTGGAGTTGCATGGTACAAAGAGGAGGAAGCAAAACAAAGGGAAAGAGGGCAAGTCCCTCCCTGGCTTCCGCCACTTGCTATTTTTGTGACCTCGAGGGAATTATTAAATGACCCTGCGACATCAGCACTCTTATGCACCCTATGTACGCCGGGCTCAGGGTGTAAGGCTGGAGTTGTGGCAGCTAGGAAATTACTGACATCCAGACCCGCATTGAGTCCTCCAGGTTAGCGTCTTTGAGAAGGCCAGCAAGAAGCCAACCCATCATCCGTCTTCCCCGAACCTCGGTTTCCCGAGCTGGGAGCCAGAGTGAACCTCGATCTGTCGCCAGACTACATGAGATCTGAAGTCTTTCTTGGGGGGAAGGTGGGCTTCTAGGGGTGTCTTAATGAGAATGCCGTGCTGGCTGAAGGCCCAAAGGACCAAGGCCCCCACCCAGAGCACACTGTCTCTGGGGTACAGGCTGAGCATGCCACACATGCTTCCCTCCCCTGTCCCTGTGGCTCTCTGTCCTAGCAGCTGAACAAATGGCACTTCTCCCTGCCCCCTGTCATCCCTGCGCAAAGGGCATGGGGCCTGGCACGCAGTGCTGGCAGCTGTGGCTTTCCATGCTACTGTCAACTTTTCCAGGGCACAAATGAGAACGGGAGAGCCAGGAATAACTGCCTGGGCCCCAGAGGGTCTGGAGGGGTGGGGCAACCCCAGACCTGGCTTTAGGCCTTTTCCCCAGGGGTCAAGCAGCACCCCTGCCCCCAGGCCAGGGTTTTGGAAGATGTCTACAGCCACTAGGAGCCATTATCTGACATGAGTCTCATTAAAATGAGTCCAGGCTCCAGTGGGACCCGAGTGCATTCCCTGTGTGACCTTGGAGAATGTTTAACTTCTCTGAACCTCAGCTCTTACAATCCAAGGTGGCAGCCCCTTAGGACCCCACGGAAGCCAGTGTGAAGAGCCCTTTTCTGAACTTGGCCAAGTTCAAAGTACTACCATTACATGGTCATTTTTATGTCTGGTCCCATAAAAGTGATCCGGGGGCCAATCAGCACTCTTCTGAACTGAAGATTTTTCAGACCTGTGGAGGCCAAGCTAAGTCCAAGGCCCCGCCCGCAGGGCCCCACGATGGATAAGGGGCCAAATCGTGGTCCTTCCCAGGAACAACAGAATAGCAAAACTCCTACCCAGAAGAGGATCCAGAGTGGACCCACTGATTAGATAAGGGTGTGTGGGCTCTGCAGAGGGCACAAAGGGGGCCGTCCTCCCTGCCTACCCCTTGGGGATGGGTGTTCTGGGTGCCTGACACCCCTCCCCAGGGACTATATTAACCGTGTGAGTCATGGTGGACTGGCTGGGAGGCCACAGGCAGGCGGGCCCAGTGTAGGGTTACAGTCCATTTATGGGCGCACCAAGGGCCGATATCAGTGTCGATGGCATTCGCTCTCAGCTATTCTTAGGAGCCTCCCAGGAGCTCTGCACAGCCTGGCCAGGCAGAGAGCAGGCAAGGCCAGGGGTCGGGGTTCTGGGGCCGGGAACAGAGCTAGAGGCTGGAAAGACAGGGTGCATGAGTGTCCTCTTACCTGACTCTTCGTACTATTTGTCTGCAGAGAAGGCCGTCGCTGTCAGCACCAGTATGTCCTACAGTGTGACTCTGACAGGGCCCGGGCCCTGGGGCTTCCGTCTTCAGGGAGGCAAGGACTTCAATATGCCCCTCACTATCTCCCGGGTAAGTGCACATTGCCCACAGCCTTATTCCCAAAGGGGCAGGGCATTCTTGGAGGAGGGCATGCTCATGTCCATCTGTCTGTCAGTCAGTCAGTCTGTCTTCCCCAGGGCTCTTGGAAAGCAGAGCTTGCCCTATTCCTGGTCTGGGGTCTAGGACTGGACTGGTCTGATCTTGGCCACAGCTGAATTTGCTCCCCCACCCCAGGGTGTTCCCCGGACTTTGCCCACCTAAGCAAGACGTCATGGGCAAATAGCTGGCATTTTGAGCAGAGGAGAAAATGCTGAGTTTGCAGGGTGGGTAGGCGTGTGGGCAGAGAGCGCGGGGCCTCCCTAAGCCCTTCACTAGCAGGGTAGGCTTGGGGTGCTCCCAAGCTTGGAGTCCCTCCCTAAAAGCAGGTAGTTGCATAGAAAAGAGCATTCCCAGCATAAGGAAGGCAGGTACCAGGCAGGTGAGTGGACGGACTGTCATCCCGCTGCCTTGCTGTCATGATGTAAGTCCAGGCTAGACTGGTTGCTGGTCCCTAGTGTCCCCAGACCACCACAGCAACCCCTCCTCTCCCTGCCGTAGTGGGCCTGGCAGGAACGTCGCACCACCTGCCTCTTGGGCTGAGCCTGTCTTCCTCATTTGAGCCCAGGGGTGCCTGTCTCACACCTTTGCCCTGCTAGGCTGGGGCAATGGCCCCTGGGTCTTGTAGTATATGGTGAGAAACAGCTCTGCCCAATGGAAATGGCACTGAACCTAAGGTGTTATGAGGGTAGTTCCCATTGGTTGGAGAAACTGAGGCCCAGAGAAAACAAGTAAACATGCTTGAAAGGAAGAGAGGAGGGTCTTTATTGCTATAGTCCCAGCACCTGGGCCATGCCTGTTGCTATCGGCTCAGTACTTGTTAGATAAGGCACCCTACAAGTAAGTGCTGCTAGATCTGGGACAGAAGGCCCCATGGCTTAGGGTACTGAGAAGCACACAGGGAACAAGTATAACCTGCTTGGTGGCTGAGCCCCTGGCAGGACTGATCTGGGCTGGCTTAAGGGGCAAGGTTAGACTCCAGGATGTCACTGTGAAGTTGGAGGGTGGAATCAGGTATATTGGATGGCTCTTTCTTCCACAGAGTGCCAGAGACTTGCCTCAGACCTGGGGCTAGCACTCAGGGTTAGTGGGGAAGCCTGGAGGCGCTTGACAGAGGGGCAGGGCCCAGTATTTCCACTGAAGCAATCTTGTTCCTTAGACTACCTTTAAGCTGGGCACTTAGAGTGGCCTTTGGGGAAGGACGTTGTCCTCACCTCTCAGCTGTAGATCTGGAGTCTCTGCCCTCCAGACCTACTGCCCTGAAAACCACAGGGCCCCTATTAAGAGGACACCCTAAACCATGTACATTCTGCTTGACGATGTGGTGACATGTGGGCATGTGAGTCCAGTGGCTACCCCCAGCCCAGGCTCTGCACAATCCCCACCCCCATGGCTATGAGTTTCCTCCCTGTATAAGATGGGTTCTCTTGAATCATCCTCCTGTACCCTCCAGCCTCCAGTGCCTAGAATTGAGCCCACCATCCCCAAGGCTCATTGCTGGTGTGCCCTGCTCTGTCTAATGGGAACAAATTCATCTCCAGGATCAGTGACACCCAGAAAAGCCAATGACCTCACTCAGGACCTATGCACCACCTGGCCCCGGATGGCCAGGGCTTAAATGACAGCACAGAGGCTTTAAGCTAGACAGCAGGAAGAACATCCTCATTCAAAGAGGGGGTAGTTGGGGTGTGCTGGAAGCTAAAGCTAGGGAGACATTTCAAAATAGAAGCCAGGGCATTGGGAGATGGGCTCTTTTCTGATGCATACCTCAAATCACCTGGAGCAGGGTGGCCGGAGCAATGGTCTTGTCAGGTCTTGCAGTCTCCTGGAAAATACAACTAGTGGGCCACAGATACAGTGGGCTTGGCACCCCCGGCTTGGGCATGTCAGGCCCAGTGCCGATGGAAAGACAGACTCCGTGAACACCAGGCCTGTGGCATTTGCTGCTGAGGCTTACAAGTACCTTCTGGACCAGAAACAGTCTACTCACAGAGACACAGTGCCATGACGCCATCCATCTTCAGCAGTCCCCTGCTTCAAGCACAGTCACTGCAATTGTGAGGGGTGGTCAGGCAGGAAGTCTGGGGTTACCAACTTGGAGCCCAGCAAACTAAGGCTTGCACGGGATAGAGATGCCCCTGGGTAGCACTCACATGTCCTGGCACAGCTTAACTCCCAAGCCTGGTCCTTTGCCTGTCAGTCTCTAGGCCCCGGTGGAAGCTGGCCTCTCTCAAAAGCAGGTATGTGTTCCTCCCAGGAAGAGCAGCTGCCACCTGCATGTTGGGTGATAGCTTGGCTATCCCCTTGCCCACACCCTCCACACAGGCACTATGGCATCAACCTGAGCAGAAGACCCCCCAAGACCCTCTTTCAGTGAGCTTAAGCCTGGGACTCTGCAGAGGTGGGGTTCAGGAGGGACACTCTAGGGTGGAGCGCAAATGCCTTTATTTATCCTGGACAGGTGCAGAGGCCTGCAACCTGAGCTGGCCTCTCCCCCACCCCTCCCCTACCTTAGCCAGTTCTCCATGAAGCAGAGTTGAGGAAGCAGATCAACAGGTCCAGCCCTCACCGGGCCCCTGCCTCTGGCCAGATGCTGGAGCTGGGTGTGGGGCCTTGCCCCCTCGTGGCTGGGGCACCCTCTGCCTTAGGAAAGAAGCAAGTGTCTCTGTTCCATTCTAGCACAGCCTGAATTGTCTCACCTGTGAAATGGGAGAGTGCGGTCCACACTTGGGAGAGTGCAAGTGTGGAAAGGAGGCTGGCTGTGAGGCTAGTGTGCAGAGGGGCTGTGGGCTGGGTCAGGCCTGCCTCCTTATTAGAAGGCCTTTGCTCTCGGGACCTCCATCCTACCTGGCAGGCTTGCCTGGGCCACAGTCCAGAGGCCTTCCGCCTCCCTCGGGCTTCAGTTTCAGCATTATTGAACTCTCCTAGCTGAGATGGGGACGCTGAGAGCAGAGAACCCTTGGGAAGAGAAGGGAGGACAGTGTGAAACTATTCTGGGGGGTGGCTGTGCTGGCAATTCCTGGAATTTCCAGGCCCCTGGAGCGAAGCATCTTGAGCCGTTCTCGGCAGCGCCTAGCAGTGCTGACAGGCCGTGCTGTTTATAGCTCTGTTGAAGGTCAGGCAACCATCTATCTGGCTGGAAGATAAGGAACAGTCCTAGCTGAAGACTGCATTCTTAGAGGTGCATCTCTCCAGGTCCTCCTGTGACTCAGACTCACCTCTGACCCCTTGAAGGCCCTGAAGGAAGCAGACCAGAGGCCCACTAGGTCCTAGGAGGGGGTCCTTGTAGGTCCCCGAATCAGAACACAAGCCAAGGGCAACTCTACGGGTAGACAGGAATCGGGGCAGATGCTGTGGGGAGACGGGAGACTGTGGGGACAGCAGATATGAGGAGAACAGAGGCACCAGGGACAGGAGGAAATCCCCCGATTGTGAAGGCCCTCAGGTCCTTACCTCCAGGCTTCCCAGTCCCAAACATGGCTTCTCCACTCTGCTGGAGCCAGGGTCCTGCTTTCATGGGAACCACCCTTGGAAGCATGAAGCCGGTTTTCCAGGGCCAAGTACACACAAGAATCCCGGGCAATTTGTTAGAGAAACAGAGAGGAACAGTGTCAGAACCTGGAGAAACAGAGGAAGACCCGCAAAACACACACACACACACACACACAGAGAGAGAGAGAGAGAGAGAGAGAGAGAGAGAGAGAGAGAGAGAGAGATCGTTAGTATGTGTGGACAATTAGTTGCCAAGGCCAGGTGTTGGAGTGTGAGAGATGGGATATGGAGGAGTGGGGGGACCCATGGTCACTTCTTGAGGGAACTCTGAGAGCACAGAAGGGAGAGAGGTGAAGTGGGAGCTACTATTTGGACAAGCCAAGCAGGGCATAGGAGAGCCTGGCTTACTTATACGGCAGAGATGGAATAGAGGTTGAGACCACTGGGAGACAGAAGTTCTCAGAAAAAAGCCGAGGACTGGGTCAAGGCCCCAGGAAAAGCCAGATGGGGAAAGAGCCAGGCTGGCACGTGGTAATTTAATCCCACAGGGTTTAAATGCACTTAGGACTTTAGGGGAAATCCCTGCCAGGCTTCAAAGAAGGGCCTGGGAAGGTTTCGCTCCTTCTAGGCCTGTTACCTGCCCTTAGCCAGCTCCACCCCACCTGACAAGTCACACGGAGAAGGAAGGCAGGGCCTATGTGCTTCTGAATATGGGGAGGGATGCTAAACATGCCTGTAGAGTCCAGGTGCCCCAGAGAGGCTGCGGCTGTCCTCCCTGCTTCCAGGGAGCTAGCGGGTCAGGAGGTCGTGGCATGGGAGCTTTGAACCGCTGCATGGCACCTCGATTCCCTAAGACCCTGGACAGAATCCCTGCTAGTCCACCACACCCTTCTAGGAATAGTAGGCTTGCTCGGGACTGGTCCCTGGGGGCTGACCCCTTGCCTTCCACCTTCTGTCTGCTCTGTCTTGTTTCTCATGGAACCCTGGGGTACAGCCATACCGATCACACACCTGCTGCGCCCCAGGGCAGTCCTTGACTCTCTGGGGCTTCTAGGGAGAAGGAGGTTGGAGTCAGAACTTAAGCTCCCTTGGATTAGAGATTCCATCAAAACTGTCTCAGCTTTGCAGCATCCTTATGTCATAGCCTGTTTAACAATGCAGTCCTCACACCACGCCCCAGAGGAAGGCCTTGCCCTGTGCTCTGGGCACTCACCGGAATGTGAAGTCAACCAAAGCAGACTTAAGTTGACCCATTCCGTGTCCACATGCTTTCCTTTGTCACCTTCCTCCTAGGCATGACAGTGGCCATGACATCAGCTACCCTGGGGCTGCCTCCGGAGAGTGGGTTGTGCCTTGAAAATCAGATGTGTCCTCTTGGCCACCATGGCCTTTATTCCTCTGTTGTCCTTGCCCGGCTGACACATATGGGGTCTACAAGAGGGGCGCTCTGGGCACAAGGTGGGCAGGGTTTAGGAAGACGCCTGGGACTTCAAAGGCTGGTGACAACAGTTAGTCTTGTTGTGTCACCCACAAGGTGGAGGACAGTGCTTCTGGGACCAGCGATGTGGGGTTTCTTAGGGTCATGGCGCAGCAAGCAGGGCCCGAGTGGCTAGTCTTGGCCCAGTTTGTCCTTGGTATCCCACCCTGAGGCCCCTCTAGGCTCTGCTTAGTGTTCAGATCAACACTGAAAAGTGACTGTCAGCTTGAAACATTTGAAACATTAGGTAGGAATGAAACACTCATCCAGAGAGAATTTTAAATGCTCAAAAAGATATAGAAAGACTTTAAAAAAAAAAAAAAAAAAAAAAACAAGTGTCTCCAAGAACGTGTGAGCTTTGATACTTTTCTGAGACAAAGTCAACAGAGAAAGGAAGGTGTAAAGTTAGAGAAGAAACGCATGAACTTTTTTCATGAGCCCTGGGCTCTAGGCAAGGGTCCAACAGTGCCAGTCCCCTCCCCCAGCCAGCCAAGGCTGCTCCTGTGGTGGAGGGAAGGGATCTGATGGTCCTTGGCTGTCTTTAGCATCCCTGCCTCCATCTGGCCTCCTTCTCTAAGGACACTTGAGCAGAAAAGAAGGACATCTCCCCATATGTGAATATCTCACCCCTGCTTGAGGGACACTGAGCCCCGCTTAGGGCAGCCAAGGGCCAGGCCAGCTGAGCCCTGATGGGCAGACACAGATGCAGGGAGACTGACGCCAGGAACAGGGGGATCCAGCCTGGTGGCTCCCTCTGGAATGTTTGGCGACTGACCAGGCCTCTGGAGGAAGGATTACCCCAGCCCACACACGCCTGGATATCAGACAGGGCCAGGCACAGGGAAGAATAAGTACAAGTTGGCCATGCTCTAGGGAGAAATATGTCACCAGGCAGCTCTAAAGACACGGCATTCCTGATGGCCTGCAGCTGGCACCGGCTGACCGGGCCCGGCCTCCTTTGGATGTCACCCTGATGCCCTTGCTTACACTGGCATCACGATCTGAACACTCCCGTCCTGCCCGGCGGTATCCCTTCTGGCTTTGGAGCCCCACCCTTCTGTGTGGCCTTGGTAGCTGCTTCCCTCTACCTCACCCCGAACTATTTGCTGCAAGGAGCAATTCCTATTCCACGGATAGTGAGGAGCATCGGGGTATCGTCCTGTAGGGATGTCCTGCTATGGAGAGCATTTTAAGGGATGGCACACCCCAGGGCAGCTTTGCTATGAGATAGCTTTCCCTAGGAACGTCCTGCCACGGGGTAGCCAGTTGTGGGGCCTGGGCAGTCCGCTAGGACAGCGTGGTGCTGGAAACTTTATCCCGGGTGTTTTCCTCTGCCTTCGAAGTGCTTCTAAAGTAAGATGGCTTGGTGGATGGAGAGTCGTGAAAGTGAAGTGTGATAAGGTGGAAGAGTCGGGTGTTATGGTTGGACAGTGATGATGAGAATTGGGTGTTCATGTTTTTCAGCTTAAAGATTACTGTAGTAAGTTGTTAGAGATAGCACAGCCCTGCGCCGAAAGGCAGGAGGCCAGGTGTACTTTCTGCATGGCAGCAAGAGGCCTCTGGCCTAGGAAAGCATCTTGTTTTTTCCTCGTGTGTGTGTGTGTGTGTGTGTGTGTGTGTGTGTGTGTGTGTGTGTGTGTGTGTGTGTGTGTGTGTGTCTATCAGAAGATAACTTTGGGTATTGTACCTCCGAAGTCATTCACCTTGTTTTTTGGAACAGGTTCTCTCATTGACCTGGGACTCGCCTATTCAGGGAGGCTGGCTGGCCGGCAAGCCCTCGGAATCCATCCGTCTCTGCCTTCCCAGCCCTGGAATTATAAGCATATGCCTACACCTGTTTTTCAGTTGTGTGCCAGGGCTCGAACCCGGGTCCTCCCGCTCGCACAGCAAACACTTAGTGACTGAGCCATCTCTCCAGCCTCTGTCAGTATTTTTCACCTCTGCATTCAAGACAGCAACACACTTCTCTTACCATGGGCTTCCTGTGGTGGCGGGCTAGGGGATAATGATGGTATTAAGGGATAATGATGGTTCTATGATGCCCCTCTGGCATCTGGAGAGTGAGCTTTGCAGATCAGGTGTGTTTTCTTGGCCATGGACGCTTTCATTTACTGTTCTTTGCCTGGCCATTTGGGGTCCAGAAGAGGAATGTTCTGGGTACAAGTGGGCAGTGTTTGAGAAGACACTTGGAGTGGGGTGTAACGGCACACGCCTTTAATCCCCAGCACTCGGGAGGCAGAGGCAGGTGGATCTCCATGAGTTCAAGGCCAGCCCGGTCTACAGCATGAGTTCCAGGATAGTCAAGGCTACACAAAGAAACTTATCTCGGGAGAAAAAAAAAAGAAGATACCTGGGACCGCAAAGGCTGGTGACAGCAGTTGGCAGTTGGTCTTGTCATCACCCACAGGGTGTAGGACCAGCTCTGGGACCAGTGATAAAGTTACAACAAAATCCTTCATTCTCTGGGCACAATGACTGCAGAGCACCTTGATTTGTGTATAATTCCCTTTAAGGAACGTGGAAGGAGGCTTCCATCCATGCCTAGAGCTTGACCAGAGGCCACACAGGCTGGGCGCATGGAACATAAAACTGTCCCCAGGTCATCTGTGATCGTCTTTCAGGATGGTCCCCAGACCTTAACCAAAATCCAGCTTCTGACAGCATCAGTGACTAGTCTTATTCATGCAGCACAGCCAGGAAGGTGGGTAGGATGTGGCCAGAGACGCCAGGAGAACTTGGGCAGGTAAGGGGACAGAGCTAAGCGGCAGCCTCCAGCCATCTGGCAATGGGGGAGGGGGGCTCAGAGCCTCCTCTTTCCCGTGATGTCCTTGAGGATAAGGCCCGTGTCACATTCCATGTGGTATCACAGAGGGACTGCCTACTGTCACAGGGTCAGCTCCTAAAACACTTCTATGCGTATGTACCACACACTAACGGGCTGTCCCCACCCCCCACCCACACCCCCGCTTGTCCCCTCAGTCAGTAACCATTCCATGAACCCACTCTAAATGATGTCACCAGACCTTCCGGAAGTTTGCATCTCAGAAGATGTCACTGTGGGTAGGGTCACCACAGCACTCAAAGTACTGCTCCTAAGGGGTGGCTATGCAAAATCTGGTATTGTGTATGATGCCATTGAAAGTTCAGTGTGAGCCACCACAGCTTCCCATGTAACAGTGGGTGTAGCTTTCCCAACACCCCATGCGGTGTTTCCAGAGTGAAGTCTCAGTGGCATTTCGTGCAGTCAAAGATGGAGCCTCCAGACATTATTTTTGGTGTCAGTGGGTCACAGGAATGAGGAACTAGCTTCATGATTATACTTTTCCTTTCATAGGTATGCGGGTAGCCAGAGAGCCTTTAGCCTACCTCACGTCACAGCCTGCCCTGTTCTCACCCAAGCAGGGCTGATGGCTCTGATAGTTTTCTGTGTACCTGTCCTCGGTAGCGTGGAGCACCTGGTGCTTGGATGCTGCCCTTTGGCTTGGCAATGCCTGGAATGACTGGGGACAGGAAGGTGCCAAGTCTCACCCTCATTTCTGGGACTGGAAAGTACTCTAGGGCTTTGCAGGGTGTGGGCGGTAATAGGTTAATTGGTGCAATATATAGCCCCCAAATGTCGATGGCCTAGCACAGTGGGAGTTTATTCCTCATTTAAGGAGCCTGACATACCACGCCTGCTCCAGGTAGTGACTCTGGGATCCAGGCCCTTTCCAGTAATCATTTTTGGCTATCCTTCTCTCGAACATGTGCATTTAGTCAGTCAACAAGCAACGTGCAGGATTCTAGTGGTGGTTACTGAGGAAAGACCTGGCAGTGGTGTGTGATACGTCCACCAGCATTCCCTGGCCAAAGCTGGTCCTTTGATGGCTGTCAAAAAGTCCTAGGAAGCTAGACGGTGGTAGCACATGCCTTTAATCTCAGCACTCAGGAGGCAGAGGCAGGTGGATCTCTATGAGTTCAAAGCCAGCCTGGTCTACAGAGTAAGTTCCAGGACAGCCAGGGCTGTTACAGAGAGATCCCCTGTCTGGAAAAACTAGAGAGAGAGAGAGAGAGAGAGAGAGAGAGAGAGAGAGAGAGAGAGAGAGAGAGAGAGAGAGAAAACAGGCTTGGTGAGCAGCCAGTGCCAGCCATTGGGAATGAACAGTGTAATGGGCATCTGCTGGGCACTACAGGCGATCCTTTCCTGACTCGTCCTTTCTCTGCTATCTGACCAGATCACTCCAGGCAGCAAGGCAGCCCAGTCCCAGCTCAGCCAAGGAGACCTTGTGGTGGCCATTGATGGGGTCAACACGGACACCATGACCCACCTGGAGGCCCAGAACAAGATCAAGTCTGCCAGCTACAACCTGAGCCTTACCCTGCAGAAGTAGGTGGAAGCCCTCCAGAGAAGGGGACACAGGTTTGGTGTAGGCACGCGATGGGGACAAAAGAGAGGTCGTCCTCAGCATTTGCGTGGGTCCAGCCCTGTGCTACAGAAGTGTACAGGAGGGGTGAGCTGAAATTCTGGTCAAGCTACCATTGCCTTGCTTTACGGCAGTGGCTTAGGCAGAGAGCGTGGCCACAGTGCCACAGGTATATGGAGGGCTGGACCTGGAGGCCCTGCTTCCTCTTTCCTCAGGCAACCCTGCCCTCACCGCATGCAGAAGAGGCCCATGAGTGCTGATGAGAAAACCCCAGGGTTATGACTCCTTCTCCTGGTCAAGCCCAGGGCCTCCCTTAGGAGACCTAGCGCATGGGTTGATGTGCACTTGGGCCCTGTGACTCCACTGTCCATCTCTCGGTCTCCCCTGCTGGCCAGGAGCAAGTGTCCTCACTGGCTCTTGTTTCTGGCTTCTCTAGGTCCAAGCGTCCCATTGCCATCTCCACAGCAGCGCCCCCTATCCAGTCCCCACTGCCAGTGATTCCCCACCAGAAGGTAGGTGCTGACCAGCCACGGTTCCTGGAGTGTAACCCTGCCTGCCTGTCCTTACCACTGCTGACTCTCATGAGAAGTGTTTGAGTCCCCTTACCTAAGACACATCCAGTTGTGGGGATACCTCCCTGGGCCCAAGCCACCATCCCAGGTCCAGCAGCTGTTCTGAGAAGAACCCAGTTTGGAAAGCAGTGTGCTGGGAAGAGGGACAGCCATTCTAGTCCAACAGGAACCAGGCGTCTGTCTAGAGGGCTCTGACCCTCATCGTCTGGGAACACCGAGACTAGAGCTGCTGGGAAAGGACCCAGCTTGAGTCAGTCACCCCAGGAGGCCCCCCAAGGTGTGAAGGGACCTCACTGGCCCTCAGGGTTTTTCCTCCACACAGATGCTTCCAGTTTCTAAGTGTCTACCCATCTCTCACAGCTACAGACCCCTCTGTCCATTAGGAAGGCTAGTTATAGTCCTAGAGGCTAGCCCAGGAGTGGAGGGGCAGCTGAGCCCTGGCCCCAAATCTCACCACTAGAGCCAGAATCCTTCCCAAATCTTCTCTAAGCTATGGGCCCAAGGGCCTAACTTACACTTGGGAAGGCTGGCCCAAGGTCTAACCTAAGCCTGGGAAGGCTGGTCCAAGGGTCTAACCTAAGCCTGGGAAGGCTGGTCCAAGGGCCTAACCTAAGCTTGGGAAGGCTGGTCCAAGGTCTAACCTAAGCCTGGGAAGGCTGGTCCAAGGTCTAACCTAAGCCTGGGAAGGCTGGTCTAAGGGTCTAACCTAAGCCTGGGAAGGCTGGTCCAAGGGCCTAACCTAAGCCTGGGAAGGCTGGTCCAAGGGTCTAACTTACAATTGGGAAGGCTGGTCCAAGGGTCTAACCTAAGCCTGGGAAGGCCTACCCAGAGCTCCCTTACCCATTCTCACACTACAACTGTAGACTGACTCCAGTCTGTCCAATGGGGAGACTGGACAGCAGGCGAGATGGGAAGAAAAGGCTCACAGTGGTGGGAGTGGGGGGGGGTGTCATAGATTGGGGAACTGGACAGAGGGCTGCTGGGAGAAATTGCCAAGGTAGACAGAGATGGCCAAACAGCCAGCTGCTTCCTTAGGTTGCCCTCTGTACCTCCACCCCAAATGTCAGCCAGCCCTGGTTATGAAGGGTCTTCTCCAGGTTGGGCCAGTGAATCAGGAGGCTTGTTTGCACTCACAGGGTACCCATTCAAAGGGAAAAGAGGCCCCTAGACGGGACAGTGGTACCGTACTCTCCCCTGAGCCCCACACCCTCCTTCTTAGTCCTTGGGGGCAGGCCTGGCTTTCTGGGAGGAGCTTGGCATTCTGTCCAGGCGGATGCCAGCCTCTGGACCAGGAACCACAGGCTTCCCTCTGCCGCTCCTCTTGCAAAGGACCTTCCTTCCCCGTGGCCCGTCTGGGTGCTTCGTGCAGCAGGCTGCAGGCTGTGGGTGGTGGGCCACAGGTGCTCACACTAACATGTCTGTTCCAGGTCCACACGGAAGCACAGCCGTGTGTGGCCCTCTAACCACTGTCTTCTCTCTCCTCTGCATGGTGCTGCCCTATGCCAGGACCCTGCTCTGGACACGAACGGCAGCCTGGTGACTCCCAGCCCCAGCCCTGAGGCGAGGGCCAGCCCAGGCACCCTGGAGTTCGGGGACACCTTTAGCTCCTCCTTCTCCCAGACCTCTGTCTGCACCCCACACATGGAGGCCCTGGAGCCTGTCCTTCCTCAGGGCAGCCCAGTGGCCAAGGCCAGCCCAGAGGGTGTACAGGGCACAGTCAGCCCCAAAGTTCTGCCAGGCCCCAGCCAACCGAGACAATATAACAACCCCATTGGCCTGTACTCAGCAGAGACCCTGAGGGAGATGGCTCAGATGTATCAGATGGGCCTCCGAGGGAAGGCCTCAGGTGCCGGACTCCTAGGAGGGTAGGTAAAGGGCATCCTGCCATCTGGTCTGGAGGCACCTGGGTCGTCAGTGCTCACTACAACAGCCTGGTCAGGTGGTCAGGGGGAGGAAGGGGTCTCACCACAGCCAGCCCTGAGCCCATGAGGTAGTGCCAGCCGAGAGCAACACCAGCCGGGATCCCACTGACGTTTGCTGTCAGCCATGCATATCATTGCTTCATACAACCACTCTGGAGTGACATGTCAGCTTTCTTCAGAAATTGAAACTGAGGCTCAGAAAAGGTTAAGCTGAGGTCCAGATGTCCAGCTACTACGTGATGGAGCTAAGCCTGCATATAGGAGACTCTGACCCCCCAAATCTTTACTCCAGGTCACATTCCATCCCATGAGATGACACTGCCCACTGCCTTTGGGAACTAAAGTTCTAAAAGAAAGACTAGTCCCCACATCCCTGGGGTCCCTACGGCAAGAACAGGGAAGAAAGTAAATTCTCAGCTGGACGGTGGTGGCTCACACCTTTAACCCCAGCACTCAGGAGGCAGAGGTAGGCAGATCCCTGAATTATAGGCCAGCCTGGTCTACAGAGTGAGTTCCAGGACAGCCAGGGCTACACAGAGAGACCTTGTCTCAAAACAAAAACAAAAAAGCGAAAGAAAGAAAGTTCTCTAATGATGAGAGTGCTCTAGGAAGGCTACCCAGAGGAGGAAGCGCAGGAAGTACCCAAAGAGAGACTGGGCAATGGCATGAGAGGAGGCGGTTTGCAGGACTGACCCAGGCTGGGCGGACAGCAAGGAAGCAGAACTCCGAGGAGAGAGGGTCTGTGGAAAACAACAGCCCACCTCTGGCCCCCCAGTCTGGCCAGTGAGACTCCATGGGAGCAGGGGTTGAAGACACATGGATCTAGGTTACCGAAGGCAGAGAAAGGAGGGATCCGCATATGAGCACGTATCGGCTGCCAGGTCTCCCCTCTGGTCTCATGGTGACTCTGCTACTGCCCTGTGCCATGGGTGTGCTTATCTCTAGGTGCCAAAGGCACCGCTGGCTGAGTCGAGGCATGGTAGCCCAGTGTCTCAGTGAGAGGAGCCACGTGGTTGTCTTCAGGTTACTGCGAGGAGAAAGAATGGCACCTGTCACACACTCACGACACATACTCATTGATTGCCTGGACTCTCCCAGCTGAGAGTCGAGCGAGCGTCAACACAGGAACCCCATCAGCGTGGCCCCAGCCACATCCTTGGCTCTTCTGTGTCCACTAGACCAGAGCTCTCTGATTTCTCAATTTCCCCAGCTCCTTCTGGAATCTGAGCAAGGCCAGCCTCTAGCACATCATGACTTCCCCAAGCCAAGGTTTTCCCAGTAAGGAAGCAGAAAATTTTAGGAATGGCAGGATAAAGATGGCCTCCTTTTTCTGCCTCTGATGGGTAGGTCTTTCTGGTCCCTTCTGGACCCTCCCCAGGCAAAAAAGTTGCCTTCTGGTTGACTGGGAATCCTGAGAGCCCACTTGAAATGATGACAATGTCTTCGTGGCTGAGCTCTGACTCTGAGCTAGGAACTGGCTCTTTTTTATTAATTAATTTACTTTATGTGTACGGGTGTTTTGCCGGCATGCATATCTAAGAGACTGTCTGATCCCCTAGGACTGGAGTTACAGACAGTTGTGAGCTGCCATGTGGGTGCTGGGAATCAAACCCAGCTCCTTTGGAAGAGCAGTCAGTGCTCTTAACTGCTGAGCCATCTCTCCAGCCCCATAGGAACTGGCTTCGTCATTAACTTCTGAGGTGGGCTTGATGTCCTTCATCTTAACAAGTCAGATATAGTGTGAAATTGACCCCAGCTCATACAGCTAGTAAGAGGCAGACAGAAGAACTAGCACTCGATCTGCCCGATTCCATCTTGATTTGAGATGGAACAGGGAAGCTAGGAGGTCAGGAGCCCTGTTCCGCCACCACCGCCTCCCACCCTCACCCCCTCGCCCAGACTCCTGGGTGCCAGTCCTTTGGTGCAGATGATGTCCAGAATCTACTTAGCAAATGCAGGAAATTCTCACTTGATGATCAGAGAAGTGGGATCCAACAGTGTCTTCAGGGGGAAGGTGGACCAGAGGAGGAAGTGAGGTCGGTGCTTTGTTCAAAGTAAGAGCTGATGTGGTGGTCAGTGTCAACAGCTGTAGGCGGAGAGGGGTGGGACCTCGGCTGGCCTGAGGCCCCGATTTGCTAAGTGTCTCACTGCTCAAAAGCAACAGAGCTGGCAGTTCACCGTGCCCATCTAGTGCGTACATCACCGTGCCCATCTAGTGCGTACATCACCGTGCCCATCTAGTGCGTACATCACCGTGCCCATCTAGTGCGTACATCCCATGCTGAGGGCTTAGACTCGGGGAACAGTGACCTGGCAGGACCCATCTGCAAGGTGGAAACCCTCACTTCAGTCTTTTTTATTTTTTTAAATTTTATTTTATTTTTACACGTTTTGTCTGCATGTATGTCTGGGCACCACCAGAAGAAGGTATCAGATCCCCTAGAACTGGAGTTACAGATGGTTGTGAACTGCCATGTGGGTGCTGGGAATTAAATTCCGGTCTTCTGGAAGAGCAGCCAATGCTCTCTCTCTTTTTTTTTTTAAGATTTATTTATTTATTTGTTTGTTTGTTTGTTTATTTATTATGTATACTGTGTTCTGCCTGCATGTGTGCCTGCAGGCCAGAAGATGGTTGTGAGCCACCATGTGGTTGCTGGGAATTGAACTCAGAACCTTTGGAAGAGCAGTCAGTGCTCTTAACCTCTGAGCCATCTCTCCAGCCCTTTCTCTGATTTTTCAGGGCAGGGTTTCTCCCTTTAGTGTAGTTTTGGTGCCTGTTCTGGATCTCACTCTGTAGACCAGGCTGGCCTCAAACTCACAGAGATCCGCCTGCCTCTGCCTCCCGAGTGCTGAGATTAAAGGCGTGCACCACCACCGCCCAGCGCCGCCACTGCCGCCCAGCGCCGCCGATGCTCTTAACCATGGAGCCGTCTTCTCCAGTTTCCCCACTTCCTTCTTATGAATAGAATGGAGATGGAGGAACGTGCCCAGAGTTACAATGTTGAGAAGAGTCAAGGTTAGGGACTGACCTCTGTTCTGTCATGCTCCAAAAGGAAGCCCCTTCCTTCCTTCCTTCCTCTCCTCTGAGAAGCCTGTGGCTTGATTCTTGGCAACTGGATCTCTGGGGAGACATGGAGGGAACCAGTGGAGATCAAGGACAGAAAGGCCTGAACAACCTGCAGGCTCCACGCCTCACCTTCCGTGGCCCCACGAGCAAGCCTGGCTCAGAGTGGCCCTGGGCAGCCACTGCACCCCTGCCTGGTGCCTCCTCCTGAGCTCTGAGGCCTAGCTCCTCTCTGAACTGTGTGTGCCGTGGGCATCCAAGCCTTGGGATGGGGCGAGAACTTAGCAGGGGACGTTAGTGTCAAAGGAGTTGGCTGCCGCACAGCGCAGAGGCAGCCCCCACCCAGCCAGGTCCACACTGCCCTCTGCAGGGACACTGGGCTGCCTGGTCATCACCGGAGCCGACTCTGCAGCTGTCAGCACTAGCCAAACATGGAGAGGAAATGCCAAAGCCAAGCTGGCCTTTTCCTAATATAGATCCACTTGTGGCTATTTCCAGCATGGGACGACAGGAGGAATTTTATCAGCTCTGAGACAGTGGGGGACCTGGGCCTGTGCAGATACACCACAGGCTCTCTGGGGTTGGGAGTTTTTGGCTTCCTAGCACCCTGGTGGTGGGGTGACCAGGTCCAGGCTAACTGGGGCTAAGTTTCCCTCTTCCAGAGTTTGTAGTGGACAGATGTAGGAAAGCAGGCTATTTGGAGACGTCCATTTCCCTCCATGTGCTCTCATCTTGAGTGCTAGACAGGGCCACAGGGTCTGCCACCACAGGCATTCTACATTTAGAGAAGCATCATACAGATAATGCTTCCCCAAAGAAATTCGTATTCCAAGAGGCTCATTGTCCTATCAGGGTGAGGATATGCCGGGGGCCCCTGCTGGGGGCTTTCCTAAGCAAGCCTTGGACATGCACTCCTCCTGGGCCTCCTCCTGCCTCACTGATGGCCCACAAGGCCTTTGGAATGGTCACTGGGGACTGTATCAACTCCCTGCTCCGGGAGGAGTGACCAGGGCTGTTGGCCTGTCCTGTGGGAGAGAGAGTAGGGCCCAGGGTCCATGGATAATCCTGCTGCCCACAGAACAGCACTGCAACGCCTCCTTGGGCCATGAATGCATAAGCTGTCCCCACGAACAGGGCTGCACTGCGGCCTTTTGCAGTTGGGGGATCTAGCCAGAAGGAACCCGGGGCCTCAGTCCTTCTTGAAGCAGCCACCGGTCTGTAGCTCAGCTTTCTCTCCAGGGTCTACAGCCAGGGTCTACCTATGTGATCCATGTACCTCTACAGGAGTTCTTGAGACGGACATGAAATCTCTTCCCCCTGGCAAAGCTGGGAGTGCTGGGGTCCACCACAGAGGGAGTCCTGGCACCTCCCACCCAAACCAAGGGTTCCAGAGAGCCGATTCCCGGCTCTGCACTCTCGCCTCCCTTGATTCTTACTTCTTGCAGACTGAGGTTTTGCCAGTGCGGCCTCCGTCATGGCCAGTCTGAAGACGGTCCCCCGCATTCGCACTCCCCCGTAGAAGCCTCTCTCTGACTTCTCTGTCTTCTTTGCTCTTTCCTCTCCTTCTAGGTGGTAGCCAATTCTCCAGCCAAGTTAGTATCCAAGGACAGCATGTGTGTGTCCCCGTGTGCCCTTCCAGCATGCACCTGCCATCTGTTGGGTGTGGATGGCGTGTGCCTGTCGGCATGTGTGCATAGGTGCATGTGTGAGTGGGGGTGCATTGTGCCCTGGGTGAGCCTGCACCGGTGTTTGCTGGAGTCTGGAGGGAAGCCATCGCAAGGGATGGGTGTCTATGGGATGGTCTCAATTTTCCTCCCAATTTCCCGCTCCAGCAGCTTGCAGGTTAATTCAGGTGTGTGTGTGGGGGGGGGGGGGGCTG